CAAGGGATGCGAGGCGCCCGCCTTCGGTAGCGATGCCTACTGGGAGTGCGCCGTGAGGCAGAACACGGGTCCGGAGAATCACCAGGCGGGCTCCTGCAAAATGGGTCCCAGCCACGATCCCATGGCAGTGGTCAACCACGAGCTGAGGGTCCATGGCATTCGAGGACTCCGCGTGATGGACACCAGCATAATGCCCAAGGTCACCGCAGGGAACACCCATGCACCCGCAGTGATGATCGCCGAGAAGGGCGCCTACCTCCTGAAGAGGGCCTGGGGCGCCAAGGTCTGACGCGTGGATGCGACGTGGACGTTGCATAGAGTAATTTAATCAGAATCCGAGCGAAAATTACTGCAAGTAAAAATTTAAGCGAAATTATTATTAAGGCCCCTCAGATGCAAAACTAAACCTTTCTATGTACTAAATTGGTCTAATCTAATTTAATCCGATCCAATCCCATCCGAAGGCTTCTCACTCTAGGCACACCGCGTTGCGCAATCTCCATTAATGTTCTCTATAAGATAACAGACTACTCTTAAACTAACTACTGTGACCCACTGAATATACAGTCGAACTTCTTCAACTGCACATTTTACTGCAATTAACAATTTAGGCTCGATAAAACTTGAAATGTTTATGTTTCTTGCTTTGGTATTTTTTTATTTATCTTAAAAAAAGCAAATTTAGTTTTATTAAAAACATTTAATTTGCCTATAAAATTTACATTTTTTAATTAACTTTGAATCATTTAGCACAGTTTGAGTTGGAGAAGTTTGACCATATACATTTCGTTTAATGTTCGCTTTGTAATGAACGTTAAGTTGACCAATTAAAACTACACTTAAACTACATACGTAATCGATGTGGACCCATTGAACATGTATATTTTGCGTGTCGTTCGTCGGTCTTAAACAACTACATTTAATCTATATAACTCTTGTGACCCATTGACAATGTAAATTTCGTTTATCGTTCATTTTGCAATTGCATGGATGAATGATGTCCTATATTTCTGTATACGCGTAAATTGCATGTATTTATTGTTCGATTAAAGTGCAACAATTTAGTTTAACTATCAAACGATCTCATGAATTTGTCAACATTTAGCGCACGATCAGCGATAATCAGTATAAATAGTAGCCCAAAATTCCTCTTACCAGTCAGTCTTGCAAAATGTTTCGATCGTTATATCTGATCGGAGTTCTGTGTCTGGTTTGGGTAGCTGCTCAGGACATCGTACCCGATGATCCGGAAGTGCAGATGCAAATGCACTCCATGTTCTACACGGCTCGAGTTGCCTGTGCGGACGAGAACATGATTCCATATGGTAAGTGGATTGCTATATTAACTCCCTATAGTTATCCAGTTTAGTTTGCTAAAAAAATTATCTGTAATTGATCAATCACTGAAAATATTAGTTTCTTTTGTGCAAAGTTTATTCAAAGCCCAATTTATTGGTAATCAATTTCCGGAAGTGAAATTTCGAATTATTCTAACTGTGCATGGCACGATCAAAGCTTATTATACACGAGAATATCAGCAAACTATAAAAGGGAAGCCAGTAAAGCCCATTAGGCATTCCGCTAGATCAAAATGTATTCCGGGTTAGTTCAAACTTGTGCTGTCGTTGCTTTTCTGAGCCTGAGTCTGAATTACGCCAGGGCTCTTCAGGATCATGCAAAGGATAACGGCGATATTTTCATTATTAACTATGATAGCTTCGATGGCGATGTGGATGACATATCCACGACCACTCCAGCTCCAAGAGAAACTGACTATGTAGATTTTGAAGAGGTTAATCGGAACTGCAATGCTAGTTTTATAACGTCATCTAGTGAGTGTCGGGAAATATTGTAAAGGATAACGAAGGCAATGATTGACTTCTTTGATCATATCTTTCAGCCAACGTGTTGCAGTTTAATAGCACGGGTGAATTGCCAGAGGACAAGGATAAAGCAACCAGCATGGTAGGTGGTTATCGCAGGTCCTTTGCCTTCCTTATCTCACATTTTCCTTGCAGTGTTATTTCAACTGTTTTTTCGAAAAGTCCGGTTTGATGACGGATTATAAGTTAAATACGGATCTGGTGCGCAAATATGTTTGGCCAGCCACCGGTGATTCCATTGAGGCTTGCGAGGCCGAAGGCAGTAAGTGTTCTAAACAGGACGTGTTGAAATGCATAAGGCATATAAAATCTCTAATCTCCAGAGGATGAAACGAATGCCTGCATGCGAGGCTATGCCATCGTCAAGTGCGTCTTTATCAGAGCCCTTACGGATGCTAGGAACAAGCCCACCGTTTGAGTATCAGCAAAGTCAGCCTCTGGGACTAATCAGTAGAAAATTATAATATTAGCGTTACAAAACCAAAAATGCTACGAGCAATGCACCTAGTTGGCTATAAACCGCAGGCACATGCAACTCCTCCGCTGTTTTTCTACTCCTTCTATCACGTGTCCTCGTTGCCATCGCACGTGGTGTTTCTGAGCAGCCGGCTCAGCCGCTTTCCGATGGGTTTGGGGTACTGGTTGTTTTTAAGCAGGAACTCCTTCGACTGGTGCTCCACGGCTCCGTTGTCCAGTTGGAACTTGCAGAGCGTGTGCAGCGGTCGCACGAGCGTTTGTCGCAGCTCTGGCCGGGATTCGAGCACGGCCAGGCACTGGGCTGCGGTCTCCAGGGTGCTGAGGCAGCCCTCGGTGGGTTGGGTGCGGATGATGTAGTCGCTGATGCCCACTGCGATGAGTTTCACCTGCCGCAGGCGGTGCAGAGCCGGGCTGCTGGCGTAGATTGCCTTGGCCTGCGGCCAAGTGCCATCGATGAGCACCAGGGTGTAGGGACCAGCGCTGCGGTCCACCTCCTCCAGCGGTACGGAGTCTCGGCTGGGATACAGGAGTAGCGTCTGTGGAGAGTCGAGGATACTCTGCAGGTCAGCGTGGTTTTTGTTGGGAAAACGCTTGCCCTTGTAGACCACACATTTTCCGGGTTCCAGTCCCAGCTGGAGCATCAGAGCTGTGCGCAGCGATCTCTTCTCCTCGGCGGGATGTTGCAGGATCACAATCTGCGAAGCCACCACTTCCGGCGGATGCGGTAGAGCCGGACACCAGCAAACAACCACCGGCCGTCTGTGAAAGATGTCATCATAAAACTTGCGAATTCAGTGGAGGATTCCCTGCTTTACCACTCACTTGCACTTCTCGCACTTGTCGCGTCTGTCGGGCGGGTCGGCGCTGATACCAACGAGATCCTGCCAAGCTTCATCCTCCATCCTTGTAATTGATTAAATTAAATAAATGCGAAGTGATGTTCTGCACAAGACGAAATTCGCAATCGCAGAACCATTTGTGACTAGGTGGCAACGCCGGGCGCCACATGGCAGACAAAACGAGCCTGTCTTTAAATCAGCTGTGAGCGGGCAGGGAAATCTTTGTTTATGCGGTGGCCGAGAACGAGAATTAATTTAGTTTTAAATAAAGTATGACAGCTAAGAAGTATATATTAAAAAATTAATGCTATGACAAACTAGTAAAATTAAAAACGAAATGAAATAATGTCTTTGTATAACTAAGGTTTCTCTTAGAGAAAACAAATCCACTTACCAATTCATGATGAGCAAACATCGTAAGCTCTACCACGCATAAACATTGCAGTTCAGCTTTCTGTTTTCTATTTAGGTTTTGTATATGAATTAAACTAGTAGTTAGGCTTAAAGTTTTAAAGACCGTAGCATAATTTAAGCAAAATGCAGAGCATAGGTTGGACGCTGATCATGAAACGAGGCTGCTTCTGCCGAAAGGAAACCCTGAATATCAACGGATCCCGGTACACAATCCGCGAAAGGCTGGCCACTGGGTTTGTACCACATAAGCTCCACTATCTCCTCCGGAATATCTAATCTCTGGGTGTCTGTGCAGGGGCTTCAGCCTGATCGACCTTGGGGAAAATGCCTCCACGCGACGCAGCTACGCGATAAAGCGCATCACCTGCCACAGCATAGACGACCAGAATATAGCGCTGCGGGAAATTGAAAACTGTCGCAAAATCGACTCGGAGAACGTCATTCGGGTGGTGGACTACGAGCTGAAGGGCCAGGCGGACATCGTCATCAACACAACGAGCACCTTGTATATCGTGCTGCCCTATTACAAGCACGGATCTTTGGCGGACCACCTGCAGGTGCGATCTCGGAAACAGGACCACATGCCCGAGGCCCAGATCCTGCAGATCTTCCTGGGCGTCTGCGAGGGTTTGAAGGCCATTCACGAGGCTAAGCCGGTGCCGCTGGCCCACCGTGATCTGAAAACGGCAAACATCTGTCTGTCCGACTCGTTTGAGCCCATAATTGTGGATCTCGGCTCCATGACGGAAGCCCGCCTGCAGATTGTGGGCCAGGCGGATGCCCAGCGGTTGCAGGACGAGGCAGAGGAGAGGAGTTCCATTGTCTACCGGGCTCCAGAGCTATTTACCGTGAAAACGTACTGCACCATTGATGAGCGGACGGATATATGGGTAATACAATATTCCAGGTGCATAAAATCTCTTGTTTAACATAGTTAATCCACGCTTTTAGAGTCTTGGTTGTGTTCTATATGCAATGTGCTACTTTAACTCACCCTACGATCCCGTCTACGAGCGAGGCGACAGCGTAGCTCTGGCTGTTCTCAGCGGTCACGTTAACATTCCAGAGGATTCCATCTACACAGAGGTAAGATCATAGCTCCTACCTTAACGCAATTAAATCTAATTTAAATTTATATCCAGGACATGCACGAATTGGTCAACTACATGCTGCGCACCGACCCCATGGAACGGCCATTTATATTTAGCGTCATCGAAAGGACCCACGACCTGATACAGAAACTGGAGGGTCGCTTGTAGCTCCCACTCACTGGATTCCAACGCGTCTATACGCACTTCACCGAACTAGATACACCGCTAACTGTTTTTTGACTACGTATTATTGTAAAATAATTTTAAACCTGCAGATTTTGTGAAATTATGTGTAATTAATCTAGTTTTTGTTTTTTTATTTACTGGACCTAATGATCGTCTCGCGTGAGTCCTGGACAATTACTTCCGAGATCTTCGGTGTCCTCGTAGTGGGTTCCACACCAGTAGCAGAAGGTATATGCGGTGCGCAGGTAGCCAGTGAGGAGTTCTAGTTGCTCCGATGGAGTGTATAGTTCCTCCTTGGGAGGCTCCTCCTCTTCCGGCTCTTCTTCGCTGTCGGATCCGTTTTCCTCCTTTGGTTTAGGTGGCCAAAAAAAGTCCAGATCTGGTTCTGTAACTCCGGACTTAAGATCCAACGATTCGCAGGTCTGTTGGCACCTCTTTATGTCGTAATGCAGTTTACGTTCTTCCGCTTTGTGGGTCGCCCGTCTTCTATAAGCCTCAGTGCTGATTTCCTCGCCGGATTCGATGCCGGCCTTGCTGAGGAGGTGGGCCCTCCGCATTTCCTGCCTTTTAAGGGTCAACTCGGCCACGGCTGCCTCGCGTCCTAGGCCTCCGCGACCGCTCTTTATGGTAATTCCCACGGGTTCCGTGCGTGCATCCGGTTGTTTGCCCAAACCAGAGCCCGCTTTGTAGCCCATTTTGGCCATCAGCTGGAAGCCCTTGTTGTCGGCAGAGAGGGGTTTGTTGAGCGACTGCTGAAGCCGATCATTATCCACTTTTCCAGCGGCAGATGTTGCCTCTCGCTGGCGTTTCTTCAGCTCCTCGTTTTTGGTATCGACTTCGATTTGCCGCTTCTTGCCTCGATTTTGCACCAGGCTGGGCCGCACTTCTTGCAGGCTAATGGGAAGTGTGTTAGTTATGTTCTAATAATGTGTTAGTATCTTCTCACCCAGCCAGGAACTTATCGGACATATAATCTTCCTCCTCGTCAGACATTTGTTTATTAAAAAGGTAAACTCTGTTTACACTTTGATTTTCAGTATGACCGTGGTAGGTGCGGCGAAAAATGGATAATTCTGAAAATTCAAAAACACTACATTTGCTAGATGCACATTATTTTAGCTGGTTGCTATTTTTGTATTTTGCGTGTTTCTCATAAGACTAAATACATTTACAGCGAATAAATTAAATTCTAAATACCCATTGTTCATGCTAAAATAAAATTAAGCATCCGTTAACAGATCATGTATCAGCTTTAAAAACTTCAGTATTTATTTAAAACCGCGAAGGCAAAAAAATACTGTAGAAAATACCACTCGTCATTAAAAAAACGAGTTGGCAGCACTCTACCGGCTGTTGCTCTTCACTGGCAAGTAGACAGTTTCATTAGCACCCCATGTGCTCGGCAAATTCAGAAGACAACATTTGGGAATTTTAAGTTAAAATCAAACAAAACAGGCGCAATGGGTGCGGTAAGTTACTGAAATGAGCTTATAAAACACTTAACAACCCTTTTAACTTTAGAAAAAGGTGAAAATCAGCTCGGTGAAGCGGGCTGCTCATCTGAAATCAAAGAAAACACCGCTGTCCAAGCAGCAACAACAAAAGCAGAAACAGAAGCGCGATCAACTGAGTTCCAAACGCGAACAGGGCCAGAATATATTCTCCCAGAAGGCGAGAAAGCGCGACAATTTGGCACAACGCAAGAAGCACAACAAACTAGCCTCATTGGGACTGGATCCTCTCGAGGACGACAACGAGGATGGCGACGATGAGATGCTGGATAACGTGGCGGACATGCTGGATGGCGATGATCTTGCCCTGCTACATGCCAACAAACGCAAGCGAAAGGCCAAGCCGACCGGCGAACACGACGAGGACCTGGGGCAGTCAATCGGCTTGGAAAAGGCTTACGCCTCGGACACCAAAAAGGAGCAGGCGGCGCAGAAAATCAAGCTGGATCTGTTGCCCATTAAGTCTAGGGATGGTCAGATCATCACCCGCACCACAGAGGTGGATTACCTGCCCAAGCCCAAGCAAAAGAAGAAGAACGAAGAGCAGCAGGACGAAGACTCTGAGGAAGAGGAAGACGGGGAAACGGAGTACGAGGACAGCGATGACGATGTGGTCAACGACGTCGAGGCGCCGTCCGCAGTTCCAGTCCAAAAACTCATCTCCACCACGGATCTGCTGATTGCCCGCCAGCAAGAGATTGAGCGCCAAAAGTATCGCATTGGAATCATTTGCTCCGGACTGCTCGAAAAACCAGAGGATAAAATGCGCAACTTCCATGCTCTGTACGAACTCATGGATGAAATCAACCCAGCTAGTCGGCAGGCCAACCTGATGGCCGTGAGAAAGTTGGCTATAATTTCTGTAACCGAGATCTTCAAAGACATTTTACCCGAGTATCGAGTGGGTCAGGTGGACACCAAGATGCAGACGCTGCGCAAGGCCACTCTGGACCGTGTGACCTTTGAAAACGCTCTGCTCCAGCAGTTCAAGAAGTTCCTGCAAAAGCTGGAGCAGATCACTGCGCAGGTGAACAGGAGAGGCGGTCTAAGGACGCCCCAGACCATCAAGTTGGCCACCGTGGCGGTGCAGTGCATGTGCGATTTGCTGGTGGCGCATCCCTACTTCAACTACGTCCAAAACATAGCCCAGCTGCTGGTCTACATGCTTAACTGCAATTATCTGGAGATGCGAACAGCGGTCAATCAATGCTTCCGCTCAGTCTTCTCTAACGACAAGCGATTGGAGATGACTCTCTTTATAGTGCGACGCATCAACCACCTGATTAAAACGAAGCAGAACAATGTTCATGTGGAGTGCATTACCTGTTTGATGGGTCTCAAGATCAAGAACGTAAATCTGGATGCAGAGAAGGAGAACGAGCTAAAGCAAAAGAAGCTAGAGTCACATCGTCAACGCTTGTTGAGTTTGTCCAAGAAAGAGCGGAAGAGGCGGAAGAAGCTGACCGAGGTAAACAGGGAACTGGAGGAGACCCGTGCAGAGGAGAACAAGCAGGACAAGCACCAGAAGCTTACCGAGATCATCAAGATGGTGTTTACGATCTATTTCCGCGTGCTGAAGAACGATCCCACATCGCGCGTATTAAGCGCCATTCTTGAGGGTTTGGCAGAGTAAGTGGTTGTTGTACATTTCATTCCTTGAATCTGCTCTAATTACAATTATTTTTTTAGATTTGCGCACGTCATTAACTTGGAATTCTTCTCCGACTTGATCGATGTGCTTAACCGCATTTTGGAGGATCAGGACGAGCTGGGCTACCGGGAGCGATTGCACTGCGTTCAGACCATATTTGTCATCCTTTCCGGTCAGGGTGAAGTGCTTAACATCGATCCTATCAGATTCTACCAGCACTTTTACCGGAATATGCTTGCCGTGCAGGCGGGCAAGAATCACGATGACTTTACCATTATCCTTCGAACTCTTGATGAGGTGCTGGTGAAGCGACGTCGAAATATGAGCCAACAGCGTCTAATGGCCTTCGTAAAGCGGTTGCTAACTGGAAGTCTGCATTTGCTTCACAACGGAACCTTAGCCACACTGGGCACCGTAAAACAGACCTTCCAGCTGACTTCTGTGCTCGACAATCTACTGGATACGGATACTAGCATCGGTTCAGGACGTTATGACCCTGAGCTGGACGATCCCGAGTACTGTAATGCGGCCAGCACGGCGCTGTATGAGCTCGCTCTTCTGGCACGGCATTATCATCCTACGGTGCGAAAGATGGCCGTTCACATTGCCCACGGAGTTCCAGCTTCAGGCGAGGGAGCCCTGCCCACGGATATCGGCAAGCTGTAAGTGATTATATATCGGCTGTAGATGTGATTCTAACAAATAATGTATTTTTTTTTAGTACCTCTCACGAACTGTTCACGCAATACGACAGCACACAGATGGCTTTCAATCCAACGATACCGCTGCCAAAGGCCGGCCAGCCAAAACTGAAAAAGGGCAAACATTTGTATATCCGGTCGGACTTCAAGCAGGAGTACGGAAAACTGTTACGGGAGGCCAAAGTTTCACAAGTGAAGGATAAGCGTACATTTCAAATTGATTTTCTTAGTGCACTTCAATAAAGGTAAAAGTGGAGATGAAACCTTAACAAATTAAAAGCAAAAGTTACTATTCTATATTCTGGTAAGGATACTTTAGATCAAAGTTATTAAAAGACATTTTTTATCATCATTATACGAAACCACCTTTAGTTATGTACCCAGAAGATACTATCTTTTTCATGGTATTTTTGCGCCCTTTTAATTAAATTTATAGCCACGTATTGCTCTTCCGTTTTCTATTAATTTTCCTTTGACTGTTTTAAGAAGTTATTTTTAGTATATTTCATTGAATGGGTATTAAAACTAATTACACAGATCTATGTTCGGAGCTCCTAACATACTATAAAGAGGCTAAATCTAGGGTCGCTAAATCTAATGCCATAAAACCGGGTACAGGTGCCAGGGTTCGCCAGGGTTTCAATGTCTATGCTGAGGTTCCTCCACGCTGCCGTTGTCCAATGCTGGCCGGTGGCAGGTACTCCCGATTTCCACCTGTCACCAACTGAGGTTGCTGCTGTTGACCGAAGCCAGCCACCGAGTTATCCTGAAGAGAACCAGCGGCGGTGGCCAACAGACCGACAGCAGCTCCAGACGGCGGCAACCGATTGGCTCCGGCACTCGGGACGATGGCGGGTCGAAGAACGGCACCAGCGCCATACGCGCTCTGAGCCTGGGCGGCTGGAGTGGGCGTGGCCGAAGGATAAGACCCCCGTCCGGAATTGTAACCAGACACCTGAGGCACTCCGGTGGCCCGAAGGGTTCCGGCCGTGGCAACAGGTGCCCCGAAGGCAGTGGTAGCAGCAGCAGCCGGACGATAGGCATTATTGGCACTAGAGGTTCCTAGATTGGAGCCACTTCCTCCAGAGTAATCATAGATGTAAGCATTATTGGCATATAAGCTGGGTGCCGAGACACAATCGTATTGGTTCCACCAAACGCAGACCAGTGTCTCCTGGCTGAACACCGTGCCATTGGGACAGAGAAAGGAGTATGTCCGGTTGAGGGCGCAGATGTGGAAGACCTGGCACTGCGCCTCGATGTCCGCATAGTATCCGGGCAGGGGCTGTTGCGAGCAATCGAAGTTGGTGCGCGGCACCTGTGCGTAAATGGGGTAATCTACTCCAGGAACCCCCGGAATGGCCGAGTAGTCGCCTTCGCCATCGTTGTAGTCCCCGCCGTCTCCTGTTCCACTTGTAACTCGGATTGGAGAGCCACCGGGAGCATTACCGTACTGTGAAGTCTGTGGTCCATAGGGTCCACCGCGAGATGATGTGTTGGGCAGACCCCCAGATGAAGTTCTCCTCGGCTGGCTGACGGCGTTACTGCCTCCCACAACGGCAGGAGCTCCAAAAGCAGTGGTGGCCTGACCGCTGGGTGTAAATCCAACGGCAGGCGAGGGAAACAAACCAGCTCCATACGCCGTGGTGGCCGGAGCGGGAGTCAGTGGAATGGCCGAGGCCGTGGGATACGGTCCTGGTGCTAAGCGACCTCCAGCGGTGGCTCCACCCACATTGGACACCTCGGGACGCCCATAGTTGTACCCACTTTGAGCCTGTCAAGAAAAGGATTAAGTCTTAGGAATGGACACTTTCAGGAGCGTTGTTGGAGCTCACCTGCACCTGCAACTGGGCCAATCCACCGCTCCAGAGCAGCACCAGAACTGGAATTAATAAACGGGCCAACATTAACGCTTTCTATTCGTTTGTGGAATCTGGCAAAGATCTTCTCCGAGCTGTGGAACCGTCGACGCACCAAATGGAAATGAACGCCCTGCAAGCCATCGATGGCGATGGCAGCGAAGTTTCGCAGCCCATATTAAGGCCAAGTACGTCGCGATTCTGGGCGCTGATAGCGCGACTTAGACGGTTCTGCACCGCGATCTTTATTTATCAGCTTCCTACTCCCAAGTTGGGGGCACCGTGGTTTTAGGTCTAACTTGAATGGATCTCTTTACTAAAACATTTGGAATATTCCTCGCGAACCGTATTTGTCCGAAATGGGCCCACTTGTTTGTACTGCTCTTAGTGCATCAACGTTCAACAATATACAACGCATTTTGAGTTGGAATGGTTCGGAGATAGAGGTAATAGTTACAGTTTTGAAACCTATGAATATTCGTGGCCAAAGGAAACAAAAACCATCATCGATCCATGTCTATTTATGAAAAAACAATATAAATTTTTAATGGTTTCGTTACAAAAAACTGATAAAATTGCCAAACGAAGTTTTAAATGCACAATACCAATGGTTTTAGTTTTTAAAATGTTCAAAAGTTGGAAAGTTGAATGGTCTTTTTACTTGTTGGTTTATAGCAGTGGTCGGCACACACATACCATCACAAGTTTGCCTTGCATTAGTGTGAGTGTAACAAACACGAAGTTTGCGCGCGGCGTGCTGTAGCGAGACGTTTCTCTGCTTTGCACTGAGATCCTCTGCCGCAGCAACAAAAAAGCGCCCCGAAGTTGAGAATAAAATGACCCGAAGACCCATGCCGAAGTCACACGAACATGTACGTTATACGTGAGCGAGCAGAGGATGGGCAGAACACTTCCCTATGCTCACTAGATAGGCCACTGCCGACCACTGGTTTATAGAAATCATTAGAAATCTTTGTTATCCATCTGAAAGTTATCCAATTACACAATTTGAAATATTTGTAAGTATTAATGTCGCTATATGTATAAGTGACATTTTCTTTTAAATTTGGAATATTATGTTTTTCAGACAACTGCACTGGTATCTTTTTAGACCCAAAATTCCACGGTGCCAATTGCAGAAATAACGCACCGCAACATCAATTGGCTGCCAAGAATTGCGGCAGCCGGTGGGCCGAAGGCAAGACGCATGCCTCGTAAATATGCAAGGCAGCAAAAAGTTAGACAGACAGACGCCCTCCAAAGGAAGTGCTAATAGTGCTGGGAATGATGGGGCGGACAGCCGATCGCTCGTCACTGTTGAGTTACGCGCCGCAGTGGGTTGGGTCTGGGTCAGCTAGACCGACTTGTTGGCCAACTCACCTGCCAAGACGCACGAGCAGCGTTGCATCATGCTGGAGTAGTATGGATTCCAAAGTACTATCCTAGTGAGATATCCTGTTAATCCTTCTCGCCCGACGACCTGCGAACTGTCCAAAACTTGAGAAGCAACTGCAGGCCAACCTAGAACGCTGTTAGAAATTTATACCAAACTGAAAGCCCGACTTGGATGCGGCATCTTTGCCATATTTATGTGGCAGCTGCCCCAAAGACCGACGACAGTTCGTCAGTTCGTTTGTGCCTGCGCTTTAGCAGATTTATGACGCTGGATTACCCATTGTTCGGGGACGGCGGCCAGTTATCAGAATCCATATATCAGCGCGACCCTACATGACGTATACGTAATATAAGTTACGTATACGCGATGATCAATTCAATATTATGGCCTTTTCAAGTGCAATGTAATTTCAATACGATTTGACTTGTCCTTGAGAGCGGCAAATTTGATTTTCTTGTAAATGCATGCAGTAGCAATGACAAAAATATTTAAATATCGCCTGATTACACGATCGTTCGACCTCACCATTGATTTATATTAGAGCTGGAAAACGCAAAAGCCATTCCATTTGTGTCAAGGCAGTCTGTGATGGGCTCTTGGGATTACCCCTGTTGACTTATTTGAGACCCCAACTAATGCCAGTGGTAATGATTTAATCAGTTAGCTTGGCCCCTTGGCAATTCATCTCCCATTAGTTTCCCGTCCATAAGCGCACTTCGATTGATCTTTTTTATTTATTTTTATATGTACTTTATTAAGTTTAAATAAATATTTACAAACAGACAGCAAGAAGTACAGATTGTTCAAATAGATCGCACCTACTGGATAATGGATACTGGATGCTGGATGCTGGATGGAAAGTGTACTCGTTCGTTAAGACTAAGCAGTAAGAAACTAATTTAATACAACTCTCGATTAAACTTAAGCGGAAACTGCTTGGCTGGGCATCAGGAACAACCAAGTCTATGCCTGTTTCGGGCGCGGGAGTATTTCAGGGCTCTCATCGTCGAGTATTTCGATTACATATTTACAAACTAATTGCGCAATTGCATTGGCTAAACGAAGTCGATTAACAAGTAAGTGGTTCAGAATCAAAATCATATAGGTATAGGGGGTTTTTAACTTAGAGAAAATCAAACTGAACTGAAGAGGGGAGAGTGGAGTTGACTAAAGTTAGGCATTAACTCGCAAGGTCTAGGAACCGCCACCGCCCTCGCTCTATCGCCTGCTGCTGAACTTGGACGCCAGCGAATATAATGACTTGAGCAGCTCCAGGGCCCTCCGGTCCGAGTTGACCTCTAGCAGCGGGACCGTCGTCGTCGTGGTCTCCTCCAGGTCCTCGACGCGTATCTCGAACTTTGTGGTCTCCTCGTAGCTGCCCGCCCCCAATCCCGTTGTGGTGGGCAGATCCGTGGTTGTCGTGTAGCCCGGCGTGGTACTGGTGAAGTACTCGCCTGCGGCAGAACCACCTCGTCGGAACGTGGTCACCGGGATGCGGTTGGTGGTGGTGGTCAGTCTCTGCCGGGAGGTCTTTCCCCCGGCCGCCGTCTTGCTGTCGATATCAATGAGTGCGTTCAGCAGGTGCTTCCTGCTCCTCTCCAGCGCCTTGCCGTTGTGGTCATCACAGGTCTGGATGAGTAGCAGCAGCAGGCTAAGCACCTGGCGATCGTGCTCCGCCTTGGCCATCACGTTGCGCAGATGCAGTGCCTCCTGTTCGTTGAGACCGCCGAACAACTTGTTGGCAATCCTCTGGAGGCCACTGCTGGAGGGCAGAGCATCCCTGGGGATGTCGTAGCTCCGGAAGATGTCTTCCCATTCGTAACGTGATGGCGTGGGCGTGGTCACCCTGTAGGCAAACGGAGAGCCTGTTGTGGACGTCGACGTCGTGGTACTGGTGGTGGAAGTTCGCTGTTCCTTCATCAGGCCATCGTTGATGGTCAGGGGATCCAGGAAGTCCGTCTGCGATTTCAGCGCCCACGGGTGCTCGGTGGGCTTGTGGGTGGTCACTAGCTTCTGCGGCCTAGCATCCTTGAGCAGATCGTTGCGGGATTTAACAAACGATTGCGTTTGCTGTTGCTGCAGGAACTCCTCGCCGGAATCCTGGCTTGGTGGCGAAAGTTCTCCCGAGAACTCCAGATCCTGGCCACGATTTGTGCTTCCCTCATAGAGCTCTGTGGTGGTGGAGTAATCTGGAGATGGGGTCGAATCGAATTTGTGGTTAATTTCCGCCGCAATGCTGTTCGGTGTGGGCGTGGTAGCATCTGGTACTCCCTTGGTGGGCAGGTAGTACTTGGCCGTTCCATCGCTGAAGAGCGAGGGATCTGTGGTGGTCACGGGTCTAAAGTTGGGAGTACTTGGTGGCTCCGTGGGTCGGGCACGGGCCGCGAGTTCCGCACGGAAAGTAGCTGGGTTATCAAGATAGCTGGACAGAGCATTGGAGAAGATTTGAGCGATCTTACGGGACTCGGGTTTCTCCGCCAGGGCACCAACAGTAGAGCCCGTGCTGCCAATCTGTGGGAACTGCTGGTACTTTGAACCGGCTTCGGACTTAGTTCCATTGGGCTGGTTAGAGAGTAACCCCGAGCTAATGTCCCCTTCTCCAGCACCACGACCTTGGGCGGACTTCAGGCCAAACAGATTGCTGTACTTCTTCACGGTGGTATCACTCAGTAGACTCTTCTTGATGTCGTCCGCATTATCACTAATCGCTGGAGGATTCTCTGAAGTGGTCAGTAGCGCCGTGGTGTCCGATGGCTTGATGGTGGGCAGTGGGGGTGGCTTTACAGATAGCTTAGGCTTAACTCCAGTCTTGTCTGGCTTCTCCGCCTTATCTGGCTTGCCCAGAGCATTCGAAGTATCATTATGTTCCTGTGCAAAGTACTTCGCAAAGGAAACTAGGGCATCTGGTCCCGAAGAAGGTGGGATCTCTAGACCAACTCTAGCAGGAGCCGCCGCCGCGGCATTCAGCTCCACGTCCTCAAACTGATCCTTCAGAAGGTTCATTGTTTTCAGCATTTCCTGTACATTGCGGTAGACAGACTCATCCTTCACGGGATTGGGAGCAAACAGTAGAACATCCTCTCCAGCTGCAGCTGCCGGATTTCCCCTTGGCGACTTTGCACTCTTGGGCAGATAAGTTGGTCCATTGCTGGTGGCCGATGGCGACGGAGTGGTGGGTAGGTAGTCCCGACTCTCGGTGGACTTGGAAGGTGGTCGGAATTCCCCGGAGCTGGCCACATCGTAGTGATGCCTCATGCCAATGATGATCGGCTTAAAGGTGCTGTCCAGTTCGATACTGGCACTAGCGGTGGGTTTAACCTTCGGTGCCACTGACGATTCCAGGAAAATTCCGGAGCTGGAGCCTCCGAATCTATGGGGATTAGGTGTCGTGGCCACATGACCGCCCTTGATGTAATTCAGCTTTCCATCGGTGCTCTTCGACTTGACCAGACTGGGTACAGTGGGTGTGTAGAAAGGAGTGGACTTGCTGGGCTCCAGGCGGCGCACGGTGGAGTGGCTTCCAGTGGAGTAGTGGGGCGTGGTCTGTGGCACTGATCGGGTGGAATGAGCTTCGAAGAACTCTGGCTTATCCTTAGACTGGCTGGGAGACGGCTTCTCCTTCTCCTTGCTGTGCTCCTCACTTCCACTGTAGCGATGCTGTCCCCTGTGGCCATTACGCGCTCTTTCGGTAGAGACTCCTCTTTCCTGGGAGGCAACTGGAGCCCTACTGCGGGATGGTTTTAGAACTGTAGTGTCGTCATTGCGATTGGGGTTGCTATCCTTATTGGTCCTTCGCTTGCCGGATCCACTGACAAACGAGGAGCTCTCCGCAGTGATCTGAGTTTCGTGGTCGTTGCTATTACTATCGATGCTGGGCAAAACCTTTCGCTGCTTCTCGCCGGATACATCATCAAAGTCCACGCTTTCCACCGAGGCAGGAACATCCTCCGTGGAATCAATTCGCCTGTCCGGATTAGCTCGAGGAGCCGACCTTCCCTGACCAGCGACTGGCGTGACCTTTGGCTTGATGTTCAACCCACCACCAACTATATTGAATCCTTGAACGGGAACAGAAGGACGCACGCGATGCACCCGCTGCTTGTTGAGGATCTCAGCACTCTCTGCATAATAGCCCGAGGATCCTAGGCAGTTGACCTTGAACCACCAGTCGCAGGTGAGCTCGCTCTGCTGGAAGATCGTGCCATTGGGACAGAGGAAGGAGATCTTACGACCCTCCTCGCAGATATGAAAGACCTGAAAAGGAATGTATTATGAGTTAAACATTAGAGATCATGATTAATCATCATCTTACTTGACAATCTGTTTCCATATCGGCAAAGTAGCCATTCCCATACGAACGACAGCTGAAAGAGGTCTTTGGAATCCGTGGGTAGATGGGAAAGTCGATGCCCGGACGACCAACCACACCCTGGTACACCTCGTAGTCCACATCCTCATCAGAGGCACGCTTCTTTAAGTGGTGCTTGTGTTCGTTGCAGTTTGTATGCGCCTCGTACCGTTCCTCCTCGAACTGAGTGGCCCCCGTTTGCTTGGCCAATATGCGGGCAGGAGTACGGTACTATATAAAGGAAGAGGAAAAATTACCTTATGAGAAAATTCAGTTGGAATGTAATTCTAACTTACCTTTGATTCTGCGCTTGTGCAGCCGATGAATACCAGTACGAGCAAAGCTGTAATGGTTAATTGATTGGTTTTATTATATAACAAGTTACCACTAAGCAATACTTATTTATAATAGGTTTTCTTTTTAGCCTTTAAGCTATCTGAAGTATGATAATATATACTTATATTATAATCAATTTGTAATTAATAGTAAACTAACTTCTATAAAAAACCCCCGAATCCATTAGCTCCTCAAACCTACACTTATTCTTAATTATATCGTGTTGAATTTTAAGTTGCACGCTCGTTTAAAGTTTTAAAAGGAATTCCTTTAATGATTTTTCTCGTGCTACACCGCAATCATGTTCTTTGTGCAAAGATTGCTTGGCGATTTTTCGGGGCATTCTCCAGCAAAGTCTGGTTCGTCAACTTTTCAGGTTTGGATTCTCCTTCGCCGTTTAGAATGTCTTCTTGACGGTGAGCCCGCAGACCTTGACTTTTCCATTCAACTTGGATGGC